GCCCGCGGTGGGACACGGAGGTGGGAAGACCCTGAGATCGCGACCTCCTCTGAGTGCCACGAGACCCCAGGGGTCTGCATCCAGGCTCTGAGCCGGGCACTGCACAGCTGCCGGCGGCAGGCAGGATTGGCTCAGCCTCTAGATCCCAGGGCAGGATCTCACCCATCCCACGGTCAGACAGACAAGCTGGGAAGAGGGCTCAGCAAAGAGAGATTTACCCGAGCGGGTACTGAGCCCGACCCGTACAGGTGGAAGCAGAGCAGGTCTGCTCCGCAGCAGGATGTGAGGACCCAGGCAGGGACCGGCAGAGAAACCCCGACCTCAGCATCAGCCCCTGCAGACCCGGCTTGGCTCCTCCCGCTGCTGCTCCAGGTACCATCTCTGAACCCTTGGGGAGGGGAGGAATGAGATGCCCTGGGCTGTGCTCATCGCCGCTGCTGCAGGTGGGGGATTTTCCGAGGTACCCGGCGGCTGAGCCGTGGCCAGGGAAAGGTTATGGGATGCTGTATCTGCTTTGAATCAGCAGGAGGGGAAGGATCGACACCCAAATCCTGATCCCAGCCTCAATATGAGGCATCACCAGGATGCTCTGAACTGCTAGGACACCCCAAGTCCTCTGAGTCACCTTCCTTCCCCAGCCTGAAGGGGAAGAGCTGTCCCTGCAAGGGGAACATCTCCAGGAAGGTGCTACAGCCCCAGCTCCTCCTGCGCTGCTCCAGGTGGGAGGTGACACCGTGCATAAGGGAATCATCACCCAGAGCAAGGGGGCTGGAAAACACACCTTCTCTTACACCTGAGCAAGGTTTTGGGGTCCGGTCCCTTTGGGGTAACCCTCGTCCGGGGCCGAGCTGTGCTCACTCCACCTCCACTCACATGCACGGGGTTGCCGGTCGCGCCTCGGACCCCACGGTGGCACCAGCCCCCCGAGAAGGTGCCTGTGCCTGAAGCCTGTCCATGCAGTGCGAGGTGAGCAGCCGTCACAGCGGCCAATCAGCCCTGATGTAACCGGCCGTACGTTTTGCAGCACCTATTTGCATTCTGCGGTTTCCTTCCGTCAAGGTGTCATTCATTGCTGAGACCGTTCTGCCAGCAGCGCGACACCCGGGGATGCCAGCGCAAGTGGGTGGCGTGCCGTGACTGCAGGCTGACACTGCAATGCACGCGCAGATAATCCAGTTAACGTGAACACAGGCCGGTAATGAGGACGGCAGCGGCGGGTGCCTCTCCGCTCTTACAGCTTCCCCTCTACAGACCCTCGCTCGGGGCGACCACCCCGGGCGAGTTGGGTGGGTTTTATCAAAAACCCCGGCTAAAACTGAAAAAAAGGGGAAGGTCGGAGCCCCCAGCGACGCTGGGCTGCACTGGACTATCTGACGGCACTCCAGTGTCCGCCACGATTATGCTGAGGCCGGGGCCGACTCAACCTACTTCTTCATCATCATCATCTTCCTCCTCACGCTCTTCGCTGCTTGCACGGCACCAGGCCGGCGCTCTCACCAGGCGAAGGCTCCTCTGAGCTGGCGGCTCTATTTGCTAACGAGGACGGGAGGGACAGCGGCGATGGGAGGGTGACACAACAGGGAGACAGAATGGAAACCAAAATGCAACACCCAGGTAAAAGGAAGAACAAAAGAGCGGGGACGAAGGCAGCTGGATCTCCGGCGCACCCCAGGCTCGAGCACGGAAATTTCCCCCGGCTTTGAAAGCCGAAGCGAAGAGAAGGAAAGTGTCTGGATCGCAAATAGCTCGATCCAATTTTTCAGCCCCCACAAAAACTGATTTGGCGTCTCAGGAGGGTAACAGAGTGAGTTAGGAGATCTTTGCCCAGATCCTATTTTAGGGGAAAACTA